ACTTCAAATTGGCAAGATCCCCCTTGTAATTTAATTTTAGATGACTTTTCTTAAACATTTAAAGGTTTTATTTATTAATCATCTCATCCTTTGTATGCATCGATAGTTTTGTCTTATAGAGAGAGATTCTCTAAATGGTCAAATGGATTCCTGGCAAGTAGAATGAGAAATAAGAATGAATAAATAAAGATTTGGCAAGCTACTTCTGAAAGATTGCCAACCTCAAATGGATCTTTGATCCCTCCAAGGGTGTTTTTAAGCATGTAAAGAAAATTAGGTAAAGAAAGAATCCTTACATTTTTTCAGTCAGATTTGGTCCACTCAGAAAAATGAGAAATGTGAACTTTGCCCTGCAGCGCTCCTATATTGCTGTTCCTAGAACCCCAATTTCCCTGCTATGCATCTCACAAAACTTCAGGAGCATTTACTAGCCTGCATGTTCCAGAAACTTTCTTGATCTCTTGAGAAACTTTAGGCTACTTGCCTGGTTTCCTTGCGTCTAGTTGACCAGTTGACCAGAGATGCATGCATGTGCTCTCTCTCCTGTATTGTTTTAGCTATAGTGAAAGCTTCAATCTTTCCTTTGGGGACTTAAAAAAATAAGAAGAACAACAACATAGTCTTCCACATTGAAAAGTATTGCTTTCATAATTCAAAATTGTTATAAATGAAGACTGAGGAAAGACAACCATATTTAAAGAGAAAGCGAGAATAAAATAGATTTTCAAAATCCTTTGGAAGATGTGTTTAAGTCATTCATTTGATTTATTTAACTCTCTGCTTGTGCCCAAATAAAGTAAGGGAAACATCAAAATATCTAGAATTTGGCAATTCTTGGTTTTTATGAATAATATAAAAAAATTAAAAACTAACAACATAAAATGGTAGTTTAGGAGTAAACACTTCTTCCATTTTTATCCCCTGAAGATTTTGACCTTGTTTTTAACTTCACTTTCAAAGATGCTGTATCTCCGAAAGTTAAACTGAAACTATGTAATATATTGGGGAGCAGCAAAGTGATGGAGTTAAGTGCACCCGATTTCGACTTAGCCAGCTCCAGGATGTAAGACCGATTGCTGCCATTTTATATCCTCCGCAACATAGACACGACCGTAGTTCACACCTCACACCATTGTTTCGAGAATTAAATTCACGTCACAAACTGGCGGTAGGGGTCGTGTCAGGTGCTGAAAGTGTTTCTACATTTCTTCTTTCCTTCCTCCTTTTATTTTTTCCTGTTCTCTTCCCTTTCTTCCTCCTTCTCTCCTTACCCAAGAACATCAAGTGTGGGTCCAGCTTCCTCAGCTCACCACTGTAGACTAGAGATTTTCAAACTGTTTTGTTTATCACCTATATACGTTTATTATTTTAATTAGAACAAATATCTCCTTTTCATTTAGAGTTCCCCTCTCCTACCACTGCTGCCTCACCTCAGAAATTTCTGGATAATTTTTTATTAGTTCTTCACTTCGGGTTCATTCACCAAGCTCCAGTCTCCATAGGGTCTTTGGGGAGGTGGAAATTTGTGAGTGGCTTCTATTGCCCACTTAACTGGTGTCCCCCTGCTTCATCTCCAGAGTTTTTGACATAGTAAGAACCTTAGAGTCCGTAACACCACTCCTTAAGCGGTGGAGTCCCCTCGAGCTTCTCTCCTTGCCCTCCCCTTTTCTCTATCTGTTGCTCTCCCAACAGCTCCTTGCCTCTTGATAATTCTTAGGCTCCTCACCAAAATCCCTCTTCAGGTGGCTTTGCGTGTTATTCTCAGTCAAGTCCACTTCCCTGCTGGGTGGGTCCAAGATGTGTTGGGGCAGGGTAAGGGGCTTCTGATTCAGAGGGTAGGGGAGAGAGACCAAGACCTTTGAAGGGAGCAATCTAAAAGCCAATGAGACTGTTCACATGGTGAAAACTTCTGCTTGCAATTTTCTGTGCCTGTTTATACTAAAAAAAAGGTTTCTACATCTTTCTTGAGAGACTGCAAAAAGTCTCACTTTGCTTTCTTACATTTATAAAGTTCAGCTTCCAGGAAAGGGAAGGAAATGATCTTGCCTCAGTTATAACAGCATAGAAGCTTGTGCAGTCTACGTACTCTCATGCAGCTTGGGGTGTGCTCCTTCCCCAACCTCAGCTTGAGGATTAAAGCTAGAGAGCATCACCGTGGGCTTCTTTGTGCGAGAAAGATGAAGGTTTCAGTGTCTCTCTGATCATCCTGTACTTGTCCAGAAAGTAAGATTCAGTGCTTCGGGGGGTTTCTTGCATTCTCAGATTAGTCTGGCAACACTGGGCTTGCAATTCCTCAAGACAACAATTGGATGGGGCTCAGTAGTGGCTGCATCTTTAGAAAGAGGTTGTTCTCCCCAGTTACCCACAGTTCCCACCACTCTCTGTTATGTTACACCAGGCCTATATTACTTTTTACAACTCCTATTAAGCCCTGAGTATGCATTTGAGTTTCTGAGACATAGGACAATGAGATATATTAATCTCTAACCAAATTTCGTGTCTCTTGTTAACCTTCTAACTTTTAGAACTGGTCCCAATTACCCCTATCCCCTTTGGACATCTATTCTTAGAAATAGTATATTACTGATCCAGTATCAAATTCATCCTGCCATTTCTCATGCCACTTACTGGGGTAGAGGGACCAAGGATCCACTAGGTCTCAGATGGGAGTATAGTGATGAATTTAACTTCTTAAATGAAGCCATATAGGGAAAACCACATTTCTTTATTACTGAGGTGTTCCAGCCTGTTTGATTCTTTTGCTGTGGTCATAAGACTGCCACCATACAGGCATGCGAGGGACCGGCCTCCAAAGCTTCATTGTGCCATCTGCTCTGAGGTCCGCCACTTCCCCCATCACTACCACTAAATGGTATTCAAGTCTCGACTCCCATAGAACTTGCTACCCTTCTCCTTTTTCCCAGTCTCGGACAAATCATTCCCTCTCTCTCTCTCCTTATCCTTAAAGACATTCATTTCCCTCAGTGTGTACAGGACACCATGCATCATCTCTGAGTTATATCCCAGTGGCTTCTTCTTTCTTTCCAATAAAAATTTCTGAAGTGAAAAAATAAATATATAAAAAAACGCTAATGACCTAGCTAACCACTTGAAACAAAAGAAAAGATCAGAATATGCACAAATCAATACATTGATTAGAAGACCCTCCAAAGAAGCCTAATCATTCTGGGGCTTGTCTGAACTTGTCATCTCATGATTATTCCTTGCTTCTCGTCTATGTGGTGGGGCAATGCTGTGGTGGGAAGCGTGAGAGAGGGCTGCACATTTGGCTAATGCTCTGTCACAGATATTTTAAGGGACAGTAATGTGTTTACATTTTTTTGCAGCTGTTTGCTTTAGCAAATCAAGGATTATGGACGGAGTATGCCTATTGTCATCCCTGAGATGTTTTATTATTCTGGGAGGTGGATTTCATGGCTTAGAGAAATATTCTGCACAAAAAATTCATATGATATTTCAGGATTAGAACAAGTTTCAGAAGACAGCAAGGATATCTAAAGGGTTATAAGAAATCATGGTAGTTGGAATGAGAGTGAGGGAATTTTCCCGTTGTGAATTGATCAGCACTTTCGAGGGGAAATATTTGGGGATTTTCCCTTCCCAAGGTAAGTTATAGACCATGAACTGCATCAGTGGTAGCATTTCCTGTTGGCTCTCTCACCATCCCCCCACCTACATGGGTTCACGTGCATACGCACACACACACACACATGCACTATGAGCTATTTGAACATGTTCTTCATCTATTTAAGAAAACATATTCTCTCTGCTGGACAGAAATGCTGAAACGTAGCACGAGGGCTGTCAAACGCAACTGTAAGTATTTTGCATTTCTGGATTACATAATTTGCAATTTACAATGTAAACTGAGAAGAACTGGGTCTTCCTTCAGCCCATAGTTGGGTCTTTTCAGTAGTGCTCACTCCTTGGTAGCTATAGCTCCTTTTAATCATGACTTTATTAGACAATTGTGTCCTGACAGGCTGCCTTGTTCATAGTCAGCATCTATGAGGTGCTGGTGGGACATTCTAAAGTCACTAAGGGTGAAAGACACTCACCAAATGATTCGCTGGCCTCAGGAGAGTTCCCATGAGTTTGAGAGCTGCCTTATAATCTGAGAGGGGAGGAACCATGTGCGCTCAACCTCTGTTTCTCCAGTACTAGCACAAGGTCTGGCAGATGGTGGGCTCTCAGCAATTGTTTCTTGAGAAATGACCAAAATGAATGAGAAGTGAACAAGACTGTTCACCCACTTTTAATGATGAGGTGGAAAGAGCTTGCAAGGATGTGGGGGGGAATCCAGCTTGGGTAGGAATCCACATTCTTTGACTATCCTGGGCAACGTACAGATTCTTTCTGATCTTGAGTTTCTTCTACTTTTAGGACTATGGTAGGGATTAAATGAGTATTAAATTTGTTAAGTCCTTAGCATGCTGTCTTCAGCAGACACGTTGAGTCTTAAATGAATGAGCACCTTAGGTTTATCATATGTTTTCATGATTGAAGTCAAGTTCTGAATTAATTATCGTTAACATAAAATATCTAACCTAAGAGAACATTTAATAAAGTTTTAGATACAGTAAGAATTTGTGATATACATGCTGAATGTTCTAGTACTGATGATAATTAAAACAGCAGCAATGACAACAGTACTTACTGTCTACACACCACTTACCACGTATCCTGTACTGTGCTAAGGACCTCTCATAGGTTATTTCATTTGATCGTTATAATAGTCCTATGAGGGAGGTGCAATTACATCTTTGCTTTGCAGATAAGAAAACTGAGAATTAAACAGATTCAGCAGCTGCACAATCATACACCTAATATGTGACGAGTCAATGCTCAAACTCAAGTCTGCTGGATATCAGGCCCCAAGTTTCCAGGCTTTTCACAAAAGCCATGATTCTGCAATCTAACTCATACTAATAGACTAAAAAAAATATTCTGAACCCAAGGAAACCACATATACACACACATCCTTTTAAGTTTTATTTATATTTCTTAGTTCAAGAATTACACACTAGCCAACATTATTGTATATTTACATGCTGAAACTGGCTGTAATAAGTTTAAAGTCAAGAAAATAATTCTTATGTGCTATTCATTTATATTCCTCATTTGTTACGATCTCATGTATCCCAGAGATTTTAATAGTCCTGTTTTTAGAAAGACATGAAAATAGATGCAATGAAATCCACTTGTGTTTTGCATTTTCTAGCCATTGGAAAATGTGCATTATGTGCATATTAAGAAAGGCTACAAGGTCATTAGTAAGGCTGATAATCACTACATTGTGAAGAAACTAGAATATCACTTTTTATAAAAGGACAATTCAGAACTGTGCAGGGACAATATTCATAACAGAAGTATTTAAACACCCATGCAAATAAAAATACAAAATGTTATAGAATTTAAATTATTTGCAACTTTGTTTGAATGAATTATGTTTAAAATGACCATCATTGAACTCAAATTATTGAACTGAAAAGGGAAAACACAAGCTGATGGAACCATCAACTTGCTTCAGATGGTGCAAGGACACACACATGGGCATCAGATACTGGACATGTGACAGGAGAGAGACATTTGCTTTTGAAAGTTAAAAAAACACAGAGTTTTGTTTTCATCATTTTGGATCATATTTATCTGTAACACAAAAGAACTTCACAAAGCAAATTAAAATCTGATGCCCAAATTTTGCATATATCTACAGAAATGTTTTACTTGAATTTCCAAATAACTAATAGATATTTGAGTGCTGTTTTTTTCTTAAATGTTTTCTTTAGAGCAGTATCTTAATCAGTAGTCTCTTGGCTCCTTACTATTTTTTTTTTTTTACAATATTCCTAGTGTATTTGGAAAATATTTTTTAAAGCTTTGGTGTGAAGCAGTGTCTTTTTTTTTTTTTCGATTTTCCCCTATTTTTCCTTTTTTCTTTCCTTTTTACTTTTTTAATAATTCTGGAGTCTTTGGTTGAAAGGAACAATACTATCTAAGGATAAAACGCTATTATTAAAAAAAAGTCTTCTAGTATGTATTGTGTGTAACAAATTTCTGGAGCAAGTATGAATAATAAGCACTTCTATTTCTGTAGTGTCATCAATATAAACTTTTACTCTTTGAAAATTGAGATTTAAGTTACAGCCTTTGGTTTCTTGAACTCTGACATATAAAAAACCCCATCAAGTTATCAATGATCATTTCTGCTTTTCCCACTTGCCGTTTCTAAGGCTGTCTCTTGGTTGTTACATTGACTACACTAACACTACAGCGTTTCTCATGGAGAGGCCGAGAGTGGGAGTGAGTGAGTGGGCAGGTGAAAGAGTGTGTGTGTTTGAATGTGTGTATGTGTGTGCGTGTGTATGTGGATATGTGTGTGAGTGTGTGATAGCAAATTGAAATTGAAACCCTTCTGTCTGGGATCCCAAACCATTTACGCAAAAGGGTGTTTAAATTACTCTGCTGGGGCACTGCAGTAACTGTACTTAGTAAAAAATAAATAAAATTAAGAAAGAGAAAACTAAACAATTTGTATCTATCGACTATTCATTTACAGCATGTTGAATTATTTACATCATATTATAACACATTAACTTAAGCCATAAACAGAATTAGCACGTTGCCTTACCATAAAATACAAATTAGAAGTTAAAAATATTTAAGAAATCTGTTTTAATATTTACACACGCTCAGTGAAAGTTATGGTTGCTCACATTACATGTATTCTGTACATTTAGCAAAATGGCATGATTGCTACCGTTAAGAACATTTGCCCTAACCAACATGGTGGGGTTTAGTTTTTTTTTTTCCTCCTCCTAGGAGGAATATATATATATATATATATTTATCATTTTCTGTTTTCTTAAGACATATTTGTTTTTAAATCACCAATGGACAATGTTATTTGTTTCCTTGAAAAAGAGAGCAGTAGACAAGCAATGTGAGAACTAGTTAATTTCCGATGTTCTGAGGTACAGTACTATTGTAGTGTCAAACTGTGCAATGGTTCATAGGAACTGTAGGCATTGATTTGCTGATAGAGAAATGCTCAGTACCCTGTATTACTTGTTTCAATATGTTGATTTGTTGGTTGTCAAATTAAAAATATTCATACTCTGGTTTAATGAAGGAAATAAAACATATTAGCTTATTCCTTTTGTTTTCCAACATATGAATGCATATATATATGTATGTATGTTTATATGGATCTATATATACACATATATACATGTAGATATGTTGTAAGACCTGTTATTTGTTGATTGTTTTGCTGTTTTTGTTGTTGAATATGAAGTTAGTCATAAAACTGGAACACAGTTACCTATAGAAAATGGAAATTGTCTTAGTCGCCAATTTAATGCAGGTCTTGCTTAAAATAAATATGATTCATTTCCTCATTACACATTCCACTGAACTTTCTCTATATTTTGTGCTTTTGTTAGCAGACAGATTTTTTTGTGTCCTAATGCTAGAATGTAAAGTCTTTTGATTCATAAACCATTTTTGTTATTATAATCTTTTTTACTTAGCGCTGCATTTGAAGAAATGAGAAGAGAAAAGGTCTAGATGGCACTGCTTAAGTCTTTTCCCCTGTTGTTAAATTGCAGTAGAAAGAATTGTAACATTCCTTATGCAAACACATGATTATGTTGCATGAGTTTTCAATTCTGAAAATGCATTTCATACCTACTAGAGTCATGTACAATACATATATACAGATTGAGATCAGAGATTTCATTTAGACTGTGCATTTTAGAGTCAGAATTTGCCTATGAATTTCACAAGGATGAAAAAACACCTTAATTGCTGGCTATCTGGCTGTTTCATAACCAAAAGAAAAACTATACATATATGTATAAACTGATAGTAATACCATATCAGAATTTCCAAAACACACTTTTGTGGTCCTTAAATTTAACCACTGGCTATCAAGCTGACTGATCTTTGTGGGCTTTTGAGATCTAGCACCCCTCCCCAACCCTCCCCAGTTTGGTGACTACAATCCAATCCTACTACAGTAAAAATGTAGTTTCAGAATAAATTCTATATCTACTGTTCTCTCTGGGCAGGATGAGTCAGTTGTTTCTATCTACATGGTCATGAATGCCAATATGTGGATTTCGCTCCAGGGTATGTGTTCCAAGTTCCCACCTTTCTCCTTTTCCTAGTTTCTTTCTTATCACCAAGAGCAGAAATGAATCCTTGGTCATGTGCTTTTGAGGCTTATGATGTGAAGTTGCTTCTCTCCACTTTGATCTAAAGTTACTCTGTTGACTTCCCTGGACATCAAAATTTTGTTGTAACCATAAATGACAATATCAAGGATTTTTATGGCTTTTACAATAATTGCAAATAAGAGCCCACTTCTAGACTTGAGCTCTGTGTTGTCTCTAGAAAAGCCTTTCCAGAATGGCATTTTGGAGTTGTGCACCTGAGTTATCGATATGCTCCTTCCTGATATATGCTACTCAAACTTTAACCCCTGGCCACAAGGGGCAGGCACTTTCAGTAGTGTGATGCCCCCGAATGGTTGCCTAGGAGAAAGTGTGTCCCTGGAGAAACTTGAGGAATTGCTACTCTGAGCCCGTGGGCAGAACCTTGGTTGGATTCTGCCCAAAGATCACACTTAGAGGTGTTCAAGTGTACAATCAAAAAAATAAGGGTCAGAGTTCCCTATGCTGGTGAAAAAAAATTCCATCCCATCTTGGGGCAAATTCAGAAAGCTGAATGCTAAAGCTTTTGTGTGGTTGTTATTCTCTGATGGTTGGAAGGTAAGGGCAGCAGGACTCCATCATACTCCAAGCTGCTGAATCATCAAGGGAAGAAAACATACATTTTATTCACAGGCAGATACTGGCCTTGGCTACGATGCACAATTAGGAATGTTACTCCGAAAAGAGGTGTTTTTTTGTTTTGAAATAGAAATAGCAAAGTCATCCACCAAGAAAAAGTTCAATCAAATCAAACTTTAAGGAAAATTTAGCAATTCACTATTTTCTCCAAGAAAAGCAAAATATGAACCTCACATTGATAGAAATAAAATATATTAGCTTATTCTCTTTCCTGTCCAACATATGTATGCATATGTCCAATTAGTATAGAAAGAAACAGAATGACATAATTTAAAGATAGAATAAAAAACAATACATAGTGCCTGCCTGATTATCAGTTATATGTTTTTCTGCAATATCAACTGAGGCTCATAACATTCATCACGTTTAGGCGGCTTTGTTGTCGTCCTATTTTCCACTAGTTTCCATATTTTCTTCCATAGGCAGATTGCAACATACCCAATGAAAGGATCCTTAAAAATTCAAACTCAACAAACTCACAAACTAACTCTACTTGTGCACATAATCTTTGAAGTATTGTTTGCTATGAAAATACAAAGGTGAAGTTCACTGCAAAGAAGGAAATATAGTTCATGCAATCTCTCCAAAGCCTTACTTTATCTGTCTCCTAAGAATATAATCAGAATTTCAGAAGGAAGAAAAGCTGGAAAGAACTATTAATCCTTTAAAGAAATGAACAAATGCTTCTTTGAAAATACCCTATTAAATTCAGAAATAAACTTATAGGGAAATATTGCAGAGACAGCTGACATTGTTTGAGAAAAGCAACTGTTTGCTGGCTTTGTGTTCTCTATATATTTGCATGAGTCCCAATCTAACCTACATCTAAGACACTTCTAATTCTGCTAACTTTTCTATTTTGTGGTTAGCTTTTGATTAGATAAACTATAAAAACCTCTGTATGTATGCTGTCAAAAGCTTGTGAGGTTGGACAAATTCTCTCTCGCTCTACCTTTTGCCGCTGAACACAGTATGTATAGACCAGATGCTGTGTGGGACTGATAAGGGTCATGCTGCTCTCTTGCTTTAATTTTGCTACAACAGTCATTTCTGAATTTTCCACTCTGCTCTGGGTTGTTAGCTCTTACTTTAACCACCTAGGAAATAGCTTTTCAGAAAAATTTCTTTGGCTACCATGCATGATAATGTTCAGAAGTCTCCCCGTCTCTAAATGTCAAGAGAAGACGTCATAGTTGATTCCCTGTGCTCAAGCAAAGACTGGCCAAATTGGTTTCCTGAGTCTCTGTTTTGACTCCCCCATCCTATTCAAATTACATGAGGACCTTCTAGAATCCAGTGGGAATTATCTTCCCATGGCACTAGTATCATCTTAGTAAGCCAGGCACAGACCATCTTCAGTAAGAACGTTTGCATGGCATTGCAGATAATGTTTCATAAGCACAGTGCTATCTCAACAGCATGCCAACCCTAGGAGTGAAGACGGGGAAGTATCTGGATATGATCACTTCTCAGTGAAATGTATGAGAGTTATTGAGCCTTCTAAGAATATCTTCTAAATAATTCCCCTTTGTAGATGGCCGCATACTAAGAAGATAAAGTGAAACATTCAGGCTCAATCTTGCCAGCATGTGTACAAATCACTTTCATTTTAACTGGAAAACCACAAGGACCTTAGTGTATTCATTACTTAGCAGAAGCAACCCAAATGGTATGAAATGGACCACAGGATAGGCCAGCAACTAAGGTATTTTAGCATCACTTTTGTCCTGGATTGATGTGTTTTCCAAGTCCTACATCAGGTTGTACAACTGGTTTGAGGAGGAATCTAGTCCTTGCTTCCCAGGGGAGGCTATGTTTTAGTTCACATAATAAAGCCAATAGACGATGTTGAAGAAGGAAAAAACCACTGGGAAGAAAATGCGGGACCACCGATCTATGGCATTCACATCAGTCAAGTCGGGGATGGTGATTTTCAGCTGGGAGGCGCGTCTCCTCAGGCGACTTTTCTTTTGTGCCACGTGTCGTTCCAGGGCATTTCGGCCAAAACTATGCCTGGGCAACCCAGCTTTCCGATACTGGATGCTGGAGGCATCATAGGCCAGCATTGTGCTCCTGGGGTCTCCAAGTCCCATCACAGCCTCAGATGTGGCCATTTCGTTTTTTATTTCAAGAGTGCTAAGTAAGATGTTCTCATGGGGGTCCATCTGCAAGGGAGAGGAATCAAATAAGACAATCAAAACAATAAGCCTTTATTGTGCTTATTCTACGAGGCATTAGGATATATAGTTTAGGTAGTATTTATCATAGTGGTTAAGAGAACGGGCTTTGTGGTTACATTATCTAATTTTGAATTGTGGCTCTGCCACTATAAGCTTATATAAGTTTCAGATTCTTCATCTATTGAATGGTATTGCTATAATGATTGCTGTAGTGATGTAATGATCTAACAGACTGTTACCAGTACTATTTTCATTATTTCTACTTAGGGCACGCAGAGAAATAGAAGGCATGACACACTTTAAAGAATCTACAGTCTTGATAAGAAAACATAAAAAGTGAAACTGTACTAGGTATGAAATAGTATTAGGGGATTAACTACTGAATTGTGCTCACAATAGCAGCCTAATTACAGATGAATTCATGATAAAGCCAGAACTAAAAATAGTGGTAACTTTTATTAACCACTTGCTATATACCACAGAAACATTTTAGTACAACTTCATTTAATGGATGCTTCTTAACACCCACAGTCACATGAAGTCTTCTTAGATATACAGTGTCAATATAAATAGGGTAAAGGAAGACTTTCGAACAATGGAAATGCGGGCAACGTGTGGCTAGCCAAAATGCAAGGAACTTGAAAATAACAGCTGGACAGACTGTGGGTGGTGGAGGGGTGAGTGGGGTGAGGACAAACTTGAGAGGGAAGGGAAGGAGGCGGGATTTGAGAAGAGAGTCAGCCCAGAGTTGTCCATCCTGAGTTGAATTCTGGGCCCAGGGAGTGCAATCAAGGTTGCTATTCAGAGAGGGTGACCCTTTTGCTCTTGAATGATTTCTTCTAGGCAAAGCTAAAAGTAAAAGATGAATACTGATGCTGTGATTCTCAACGATTAAATGATTATGTAACGTTTTTTGTTTTGTTAAGAAGGGAAGATCTGTGTCTTATTTTTAAGAGGCCTCAATTACTAGAGATAATAAAACCTAGGCACAAAATGCTATTATTAATAACAGTCTGTTTATTTTGGTAAAGACTCAGGATATACCAAGTGCTAATAAAATTTTAGAAATTATAAAACAAGGGAAAAATGACCAATTATAGGTGCCGATGATATATGGAAGCAAAGGATACAACCAAATATTTAATTGGAAGATACAATGCTCTAAGCTTCATGAATAATGCAGAAGGCAAAAAGAATGTTGCCAAGATTATATACTAACAATTAGCTTTCAAATGTGGTTTAATGACCCTGTATTATAAATTCAAATCTAAAATCTCTTGAAAAATAAAAGCTATAAAATACCGTAGGGCATAATAATTGACCAATTAATCTCTGTCCCCTGATCAGACATTCTGTATGTTTGGTTTATGGTAGCATTTTGTTTAGTGGAAATATTAAACAAATATATCCTCTAGATTAACTTCAAAAGTTTATAATACTTGGAAACTAAATCCAAAAAATGTTGAAACACTTCTGTCAAGGAAAAGAGAGGTAATGGCTTTAATGATGGGTTCATTGGTCCTAGACAGGGAAACGAATATTTAAAGGTGCATACAATGTGCCAGTGCAGAAACTATCTGATTGAATGCTCACACCATCCTTGAAAAGGAATTCTTTTCCCAGGTTATAGGTGTCGGCATTCACCAACTTTCCCATAGCCACATTGTTACTAAATGGTGGAGCTGGAATTCAATCCTTGATCATTAGAATCTTAAGCTTGGGGGAGCAGGGGCGTGGTTTTCCAACACTCAAAGAAAACAAAGCTGATGGGAATGGGAAACCTAGCACCGTTTGTTGTTATTTCAGATAGGATGCTTATTTTCTGTTCTTTTCTGGGCTATTAACTCTTATTTTAACTACCTCGGAAATAGTTTTATAGCAAAATTTCTTTGGCTGCTATGCATGATGATGTCTAGGAGTCTCCCCTCTCTAAGCACCAGGATATTTTCTTTTCTATTGAGCGACTGTGATGAGAACAGTTACGCATATGCACCAGACTGGACTGAATTAAAAATATAAACCAATAAGAAGAGTCATAATAAAAACAATGAGAGCAGTGGACTATTATTAAGGGAAACTTGTTCTACGTTTAGAACAAATGATCCTTAGATAATTCATTTAATCTTAGTGGGTTTCTGTTTCATTATCCATGAAATTCAAGATTGGTTAGATAATTCCACAAGCCCTATTATTTATATTTTTTTATTCACAAATTTAAAAAATGTATTTCTTGAACACCACTGTGTGTCTGGCACTGTGTCAAGTATCATAGTTTCAGGGGTGAGGAAGATAGTGTTGCTGCTTGTTCCCAAGGCAGTAACAGCCTCCAGAAAAAATATTGGATTTGGAGTCAAAAGATTAGAGTTCTGGCTCTTCCATTTATTATTTTTGACCTTGGAAAAATTATTTAATCCCCCTGATTCTAGGTTTCTTCAACGGTGTTGGGGCCTAAGAATGGCGTTTGGGGAGATTAACTGAGGTAGAATTCGTGGGAAGAAACTGGGAAACCTTAGCACAATGCAAAGTTGATTGTTACGACCCGCCATGAGTGCAGTAGGATACATGCAGGCTCCAGTAAGGTGGGGAAACACAATAAACAGCTATGCCGCAAAGAAAAGTAAGTATGTTGCCCTTGCAGTGCTTCTGGAATACATATGGGTGATGGGCTTTCTGTGGATAAACACTACTGGAGATCCTCATGGGCTGAAGATGGGGGGTGGCGGGGGGAGGTGAGGTGTATGGAACACCTGTATCAATTTATGAAGTGCTATCTTCGGGGCCCATCATATTACATTAGAAGACTTTGACTTCAAAATATGACTGCTTGTATGGTCAATAAACAAATTAACCTGAATAAATAAAAAAAAATCTTACCCATAATTATGGAACTGTGAGGTGGGGAGGGATAAATTATAACCATCTTCATTTCTAATTTATCTCCCAATTAACAGAAATACAGAGGAGGCTCAAGCAGGTTGGAGTTTATTAGGCTGCACGTCAGAGAAGCTCTGAGATACTGCTCCAATTACCCCATCTTGTCTTTCTTTGAAGAACAAGTTTTCTCCACTATTTTCTCATATCCTCAATAAAGCCAACCTTCTTCATTCACCTCCTCAGAGATTAGCTGAATCCCTCTCCTGACGTCACACCCCAGAAACCATTTACTCCACTCTGTCTGGGATCAGCAGTTCTGAGGGTTTTTTGGAGGTCTGCAATAGTTGCTTAATCAACACCTGGAACTGTGTCTGTTTTCTATTAGAAGGAGGGATGGTTAGAGTGCAGTGCTTCCAAGTTCTGATTCTGGACTTAGACAATCCAGGCTTTGACTCCGGATTGAGCCAGTCATTAGCTTTGAGACTTTGGGCAAATCATCCAACCTCTCTGAGTTCAGTTTTCTTATATGTAACATGGGAGAAAATACTAATACCAGTCTCCTCGGGCTGGTTGAGAGGATTAAATAGTACAACACATGCAAAGCACTTAGCCCAGCTTTGCACATAGTAAGCACTCAAAATATCATGACTTAGCTTGCTATAAAAAGCAATAAATATTCATTAAACGAACACATTTTATCTTCTACTTCCAGTTTTTAATGAAATGGACTGCATAAACAAACTAGAATTTTGAATTCATCATATTACTTAATTTTGCTTTGACTAGTACCTTCTTTAAAGTGCTGAGAACAATGCTTAGTACATAGTAAACACTTTATTTGCTATAATACAGTTAAATTTATTAAGTATAATAAGTAAGTCTAGGCTGAGTTAATTCTAGATGCTGAGGTGAGACGAACAGAAGCTGCTCTTCATTGCATTCACGGAGAGGGAAACCAGGTTCATGGGTTCACAGAACCCATAAGCATCCTCCTAATCTCCAAGGAAAACAGCCCCGAGGCCAAGGTCAAAGAGGGAGACATCTCCAGTGCTAGTGTGGCAGAGGAGGAAGGGCCTGCTTTGTCTTTCTTGGTGACTCCTTGACATTCCACTATCATGCCTGTCATTAGGATCACTGTTTAATAACTGTCTGCCCCACCAGACTATACTTCTTGGTAAGGGTAGAAACAAGGTCTGCCTCATTCATTGTTGTATGCCCAAGCACTTCACATGGTGCCTGGCACATAGTAGGTGCTCATAAATAAGTGCTGATGGGATGGAATTAATTTTTTGGCTCTTAGTAACTCAACCTCTTGGATTTAATTTGCAGTGGCAGTCTAAAGATTGGAACTGCATGGGTCTACCTCTTGAGTTCCTTTCCTGCTCTAAGGCTTCTGCCTCTATTCATAAGGTTTCTTGCTAGAGCAGTACCCTCAAGTGCCTGAGATCTGGAAACAGCATTTCCCATGGTGCCCTGTACCACTTACATGACAGATGCCCTACTCTTACTCCAGAGAAGGGAACTCAGTGAGTAGCAACTAGAAGCCAGGACTAAGAATTTGCATACTGACCTCTTTCAGTTATCCCAGGAGCCCTTTGGGGCAGGTACTGATCTCATGCTCAGAAAATAAGGCACAGGGAGGTTAAGAAATGCAATATAAGTTTACACAGTGAATAGGCGGCAGAGCAGGAATGAGAATCAGGTGTCTTTCACTGTGCCGTGCTGAGGCGCAGCAGCAGCCCCAAACTCCTGCAGCACTCTACAGCTCATAAATGAAGACCCTTTCAGTGCATGGCAAAGGCAGTCATCCAGAGGCTTGCAAAATTTTCCTTAATGAGGAGTGCATAAAAGTGTTTGGATTTACATATGTCACTGAAGATGAGAGCTAACATAAAGTTCTGTTAACTGCAACACTTTCAAGTAAGTAGAGTAGACATCTGTGGTTTGACTGTTCATCAGCCACACCAGCGACAATTTCTGTCTGGGGAGCCACCACATTCTAACTCTTAGTTTCTGTGCTTCTAGTGTGGCTGTAAGCCAGTCAGAGCAATCTTGACACAGTGATTGGTTCAGTGATGGGCATAAGACCTTTGCAGAAGCAACAGCATGTC